TTCATTCGTCATAGCAGGAGCCAACGCTCGGGCTCGTGAGGCCCCACTGGGTCCTCAACATGATAGATTTCTACTTAATTCTCGAACGGTTCAGATAACCGAAGAAGACCTTCAGCGTATGATCACGGAAGATTCAACTCGTGCTGCCACTGAATCAGTGGCACCATATATCGCCAAGGTGGGGCATCTCACCCCACTGGTTCGTGATCGCCTCATCCTAAATGGGGCGCTATCCCATCCTAAAGTTGGGCATCACATCTCAAGGGTGGTACATCCACTTACCTTTCAACCCCAAGGGGTTTCACATCCCATCAAGTGTTTCACGTCCCTAGTTCAAAAACAGAAAAAATGGTATGACGCGCACGCGCGAACCAATGGCACAACCATGCGCATCCACCTCAGACCATAGGTCTCGAACGCCTCATCCTACAGTGGGCAGTTATCCCCATCCTAAGGTTGGGCATCACCCTTACCTTTCAACCCTAAGTGGGTACACATCCCATCTCAAGGAATGAGGATAATCTCCCCACTCAAAAAATAGAACATCCCCAAGGGGGTGCACATCCCATCTCAAGGAACGAGGATAATCTCCCTACTCAAAAAATAGAACATCCCCAAGGGGATGCACATCCCATCTCAAGGAACGAGGATAATCTCCCTACTTAAAAAATAGAATATCCCCAAGAGGGGTGCACATCCCATCTCAAGGAATGAGGGTAATATCCCTATTCAAAAAATAAAACATCCCCAAGGGGGTGAATATCAACCAAATAAAAAAGAAAAAGAAAAAAGATGAAGAAGAAAGGAGAAGAAAAAGAGAAGATGAAGAAAAAAGAGAAGAAGACAGAAGAAGAAAAAAGAAACAAGAAAAAGAAGTAGAAGAAAAAAAAAGAAGAAGAAAAAAGAAGAAAAGAAAAAGAAGTAGAAAAGAAAAAAGAAGAAAAGAAAAAAGGAAAAAAAACAAACAAAAAAAATACAAGGAAGCGCGCGCACATCAGCACCGCGCGGTTGGCCAGGGAGCCTCGGTCCGCGCGCGCGCGGAAAAAGAAAAAAAAAAAAAAAAAAAGGGCCAGGAGGCGCGCGTGCACAGCACGCGCGCGTGGCCTACACGCGCCAGACGCGCGCGTGCACTGCACGCGCCAGCAGCAAAAAAAAAAAAAAAAGGGCCAGTACGCGCGCGTACACAGCACGCGCGCGCGGCCTACACGCGCCAGATGCGCGCGTGCACTGCACGCGCCAGCAGCAAAAAAAATAAAAAAAAAAAAAAAAGGGGAAGAGGAGCGCGCCTTCCCATGCACGCGCGCGCGCCTCCCAAGGCAACCTTGGAGCGCGCGCTCCCATATAATTGGGCACAACTTTCACCGCCTTCCACCAAATTGCGCGTAGATTTTGACTCGCTTCACCAAATCGCATGAGAATTTCAACGCGTTCCACCAAATTGCGCGAGCTCTTTAACGCACCTACCAAATTGCGTTCGCTATCAAATGGAGAAAAAAAAAATTATTTCTCCACACCATGCCAACTTTTAACGCAAGACTACAACACCGATCTACTCTCGACAAGATCCGGTACCCTTTTCAACGTGGCTCCCACATCCTCTCGAGAGTGGGGGGCTTGCGAGACAACTCCCACGAGGAACCAACTCGCGCAGTAATACAACCCGCAGCGAGATAACTCCCACGAGGAGTCCACTCGCTCAATGCTACTACCCGTTGCGAGCCAACTCCCACGAGGAGCCAACTCCCTCGGATCTACGAAACCACAGTGAGATAACTCCCATGAGGAGCAAACTCGCTCAGTCCTACAACCAGCAGCGAGACAACTCCCACGAGGAGCAAACTCGCTCTGTCCTACATCCAGCAGTGAGACAACTCCCACGAGGAGCAAACTCGCTCTATCCTACATCCAGCAGTGAGACAACTCCCACGAGGAGCAAACTCGCTCTGTCCTACATCCCGCAGTGAGACAACTCCCACGAGGAGACAACTCGCTCGGACCTACAACCCCTTGCGAGGAAAATCCCACGAGGAGCCAACTTGCTCGGTACTACGAACCCTCAGCAAGATAACTCCCACGAGGAGCCAACTCACTCGGTACTACGAACCCTCAGCGAGATAACTCCCACGAGGAGCCAA